GTCAGCCTCTGGCACTCAATTTTTATAGGTGTTAAAGAAATAAGCTGTTGGAATTTCATTTTGATTGAATTTACATCTCTTATTAGGCAGCATTCTTGGGTTGTGCTATCAGTGAGGAGAGGATTCTGAGTGCTACTCTGAAAACGTCATCATTATCCCCGTATGGATGGGTAATTGACATAATCTGGACTTGTACCCAGATAGTCCCGGAGGAAGAGGTTGTTTTATAAAAAAATAATGAAATCCTTCCATTATCAAGTTCAGTTAGCATGCTAATCCTATAATTTGTGGTTTTCTATTTATCCATATCAGCGATGTCTAATAAGGTAGCCATGTCTCATACAAGCCTATTTTAAGTTTTGTTAAAGGAAATATTTCATATCTCATTCTCCTAAGTCACATGCCAAATGCTTAATAACCATATGAATGTAGTGTGTACTGCATCAGAAAATAAGGATTTAGAACATTTCTATCACTGTAGGACATTTTATTAGTTGTCTGGGCTAGGTGGCATGTTTTCCAGAAATCTCACAAGCTAAGACAACTACTGCCTTTAAGTCAATTCCCACTCATAGCAACTCGATGGATCTTTACAGGAGCAGGCAGCTTCAACTTTCTGCAGCTGAGTGTTTAAAAGTTCCAGAACACTAGGCAAACTTAAATATAATTTAGGCGCCAACCCAGAATAATCTCAAAAAAATTACTGTGTCTTCCTAAATAGCACATTTTGTAAAATAGAACATTATTTTCTATTTTATTGTCAAGAATCTTAGACAATAACCACCCACAATTTTGCTTACAGCTGAGAATGGCTTGCTGGAATTTTTATACAATAATCTGGAATGGCAAACTGGAAAAAAAAAAAAAGCTTCGTGGGAGAAAACATTTCTGGATGATTTAGTCTTTTGTTTGGGTATATTTTAGAGAAGGTTCATTGGTTGTAGAATGAAATCTTTGAGAACCCACCATTTAGCAAATTCTTGGCATGTAATACTAAGGGCAATCATGCATATAACTTAATGATTCATATATATTTATATTTGTAAAATATCACATGGTTGCAGTGGCAGAAGAACAGAATTGTTAATTATCTTTTTAAGTTGATGAACTTTTTTGCTCAGTGCCTAGCCATTTTTACTGAGTTAAAATAGAATCACCAGTAACTGTTTCTTTTTGGAATGCTGGCCAAAGCTTCTAGAAAGTTCATAAATTATAATCCTAGTCTATTTTATAGTGGATTTCCTTCCAAGGTTTAAAGGTGCTCCTTCTTGTATTAACATCATTCTAATTATGTTATGGAAACAAGCAATGTTATCCTGTCTGTGGGAAGCTTCCTTGAACAAGTGCAGCTTAGCCCACAGCCTTAGTGTGGGTCCTTCATGAGTACGCTGGTGATTGTGGCAGTTCTGTTTCCTCCACTTCTCATCTCTAAGCCTGCGAACACAAACACCCGGTGCTAGTTGCTGTTGGTTGGTTCGTGGTGGCATCTGTGTGTTACCTTTTGCGTTGTTAATAAAAAGAGTATTAGCTATAAAGAAGTCCTTGGTCTCGCATACTTCTATCATGAAATAGCCAGCTTCATTTCTATCACCAAGGCCTATTTCCAACATCTATTCCCTCCTCTTTGCTTTCAACGTTTACATTCCAATCTCCAATGATTACATCTTGATGACATGTTTATTCATTTTCATGCTCAATACCTGGGTAAATTTATTCCATTTCTTCATCACTAGCTTTAATGGTTGGCTTATAAATATGAATAATAGGTGGATTGATGGATTTCACTTTATGTGGATAGATGTAGTCCTATCACAGACAATAATGCACTTCAAGATAGAGAGTGAAATGTTCTTTTTGAGGATGAATGTGACACCATTCCTCTTGAATCTATCATGCCAGCGTAGTAAACTCTGTGATTTTCCGATTCAAAATGGTGAAATTCCAGTGCATTTCAGTTCTCTAAACTTGGGATGTTGATCTTTATCTGCTTCATTTTGCTTTTGAGGACTTCCAGTATTGCCAGATTCTTATGTTGTACATTCAAAGTTCCAATCATGAATAGATGTTTGCTGCGGAGTCTCCTCCTCTTGAGCCATGCCCCGTCAGCAGACTAATGTCCTGAGCTTTGCTCCATCCATATCATTTTGGTCGACTCTTCTTTGAGAAGGCCACTCTTCCGCAAACGTATTTTGATTACCTTCTGACTCAGCTGCTGGCACTGTGTGTAGCACGGTTCTGCCGCTATGTTCAGTATCTGACCGTGTGCTGATTCTGCCCATAAAGTTTTCATTGACTAATTCCTAAACCTGGACAGATTAATCATCCTTCATAGTCTATTCTTAGTCTGGAAGCTCTCCAGACCAATTCACGTTGGGTGACTCTGCTGGTATTTGGAAAACTGTGGCATAGCATCACAGCAACACACACATCACAACAGCACCACAAAAGGACAGACAACTGGTAGAAATACTGCCTCGTCCTGTGTTATATGCTTGATTTCAGTAAATACTGAAATCTCCTGCTAACGGCCAGTGCGTCGATCCTTCTCACGGACGTTTCCCTTCATTTTGTTTGTCCCTTTACTTTCCCAAACATGATGGCCTTTTCTAGTAATTTTCCTAATGACGACATGCCTAATGTAAGTGGGAAGTACTCTCATCCTTCCAACTTCTAAGGAACATTTTAGTTATATTTTTTCTAAGGTTGACTTATTCACTCTTTGGTCAGCCATGTTATATTCAGTACTCTGCCAATCCCACGATTCAAATGTGTCATTTTTTCGTTTACCTTGCTTTTTCTTAGACACACACAGTGGGTATGAATCTGAGATTTTACCTCTAAGTGTATTTGACATGGCTTTGTTTTATAGACATTAAGCATACAAAAACATTTAAAAACAACCCAAACTCAAAACAAAAGCTCCATTTTCAATAACTCAGTTGTAACTCTGTTCCCCCCTTTTCATCAACTTGTAAAGGACCTTAATCTTTGTCATTCCTGGGCTTCCTCAGTTCCAAAGAATTACCAGCATTCCAGGACTTTTAATGCTCAAGGATTGCAAGAGCACTGGGCACTCATTGCCCAGCACTCAGATCAGGGCTGAAGGTGGGTCCCTACAGGACCAGGGGCCACTCTCCTCCTGACAGGCCTGAGCCTGCCTCCGGTCTCTTCTTCCTGGAGCCCTTTTTAACGGATGAAATCAAAGGATGCTCTTGAAGATCTGCTCTGCTTAGCCTTCCGATTTTATTTTATTTCATTTCGTGTAAGCCAGCAATGAAACCTCAAAAACCAGAGATTTACACATAAATGACTTTCTGACTTAAAGACATAAATAAATACAATTTGGCAATCTTGGATCATATTTCTTGGATCACTCATTGCCTGGAAGAAATTGGTGACAATCCACACAACCACATTTTTTTTGATTCCACACTGCTCTTTGCTTTTTTTACACTCCCATTTAAAAAAAAAAAATTATTGGGTGCTCATACAATTCTTATCACAATTCATACATCCATCCATTGTGTCAAGCACATATGTACATTTGTTGCCCTCATCATTCTCAAAACATTTGC